GCGGCCCGGGCGGGGCCCGAGCGGGGCTGTGTCTGTCGGGCCCCCGCCGGTCCCGGGGCCATGGAGCCGGTCCCCGCGCGGCGGTGGCAGAAGGTGCTGTACGAGCGGCAGCCCTTCCCCGATAACTACGTGGACCAGCGGTTCCTGGAGGAGCTGCGGAAGAACGTGCACGCCCGGCAGTACCGCTACTGGGCCGTCGTCTTCCAGTCGGGAGCGGTGGTGCAGCAGCTGTGCAGCGTCTGCGTCTTCGTGCTCACCTGGTGGTACATGGACGCCGGGATGCTGAGCCCGCAGGGGCTCTTCGGGGCGGCCCTGGTGTCCTCGCTGCTCGGCTACGTCCTGTTCGATGCCGTGGACGGTGGGGCTGGGCGGTGGGAGAGCGGGCGGACACGCTGGGCTGACCTCAAGAGCACGCTGGTGTTCGCCGCCTTCACCTACGGCTTCTCGCCCGTGCTGAAGACACTGACCGAGTCCATCAGCACGGACACCATCTACGCCATGTCAGCCCTCATGCTCCTGGGCCACCTCATCTTCTTCGACTATGGCGCCAACGCTGCCATCGTGTCCAGCACGCTGTCCCTCAACATGGCCATCTTCGCCTCCGTGTGCCTGGCCTCCCGCCTTCCCCGCGCCCTCCACGCCTTCGTCATGGTCACCTTCGCCATGCAGATCTTCGCCCTCTGGCCCATGCTGCAGAAGAAGCTGAAGGCCCGGACGCCCCAGTGCTACGTGGGGGTGACGGTGCTGTTTGCGCTGGCAGCACTGGCAGGACTGGCCACCGTCTCCAGCGTGGGCGCCGTGCTCTTCGCCTCGCTGCTGCTCACCATCTCCTGCCTCTGCCCTTACTGCCTCATCCGCCTCCAGCTGCTCAAGGACAACATCCACGGGCCGTGGGATGAGGCTGAAATCAAGGAGGACCTCTCCAGGTTCCTCATGTAGGCCTGGCATGGAGGGACCCTCTGCTGTGAGCAGTACAGAGGTCCTTGCTGGGGGACAGCCCTGGGCAGGAGAACACCTGACCCAATAAAGCCTCTCACACAGCAGCAAGGACCATGTTTATGTTCCCTTCAGCATCTGTTTCTAAACCTGACTTGCTTGGGTTTGATGAGGAAAGGAGCTGAGCCCTGCAGAGCAGCTGGTCCCTGCAGCAGTTCGGGGTGCAGACGAGCAGGGTAGTGTCTGCTCTGGTCATGCAGACCCATACCTGAATTTGGGGGTGGGGGAGCAGGGGGATGTGCATCCCCTGAGCAGAAACACCACTTGAAAATGCACATCTGGCTCCGATGTGCCCCACAGGCCCTCAGTGTGTGCACTGTGGACTGACAGCACTTCCCCAGGGGGCTGGAGGGGAAGGGGCTGGTGAGGGTCACTGCGGGCAGGGTGGAGGTGCAGGGTGGTGGGTGCTGAGGGACCTGCAGGACTGAGCACAGGGGCACCTGGGATGGGTGTGGTGCACAGCCCTGCTCACCTGCACCCCGACAGTCACTGCTGCCAGAATAGCCTCATGACACTGCCAGATACCACACTATCCGAAATCCTTTGGGAGAGGAGGGGATGAGAGGGCGTGATGCCTTCCTCTCATCTCTTTTTCCAGAGGCTAATGAGGCCTGGCTGCAGGGCCAGACCCTGATCCAGAGGGATGGAGCTCAGCACAGCCCCCCATGGGTACAACCCCAGCTGGTGAGATACCACGCTGCTGGGACAGCGGGGGAGGTCTATCAAGATCTCATCCGGCGCCGTCTGTCAGGTGTCCGTCTGTCCGTCACCGCTCACACCGCAACAGAGGGCGCTCCCGGCAAACAAGTCTCACTGGAGGCCAGGCCAGGACAGCCGGACCCCGTGCCGGGAGGGCCTCCCTGGCACTTTCCCTTTCCCTGCTCCCATCCGGCACCATCCCTCGGCAACCCCAGCTCTGCTCCAGCCACCCCGGGGAGCAAAACCCTCCTGAGCCAGCACTGCCAGAGGGAAACGATGCCCATACTCTGCCCCAGCCTCATTGCACAGGGATATGTTTGGTATTACCCGGGTTTTTACAAAATTCTTCTCTTTTGAAAACCCAGCACTGCAGAAGTGCAACTTTCTGCTCGATTTACCCCAGCCCTGCGAGCACCAGGGTCTCATCCTATGGAGCAGGCGCTTGCTGCGCTCCTCAGGTTTTCTCGGAAATGAGCAACCCCCGGCAGAGTCCCCAACACCTCCAGTGCTTTGTTACAGCTCCTGCCAAGTGTTAAATGTTGCTGTTGTCGTCATGGTGACAACTACATCTCATTTTAGTTTTAATTAAAACCTGCAGCAGTTTGGAGCCCATGCTCCGGTCTCACAGGGAACAGAGTAGCCAGATGTCAGAGTCAAGATGACATTTTTTAGGTCTTTAGAAAGGAGACTTTTTTTTTTCACAGGGAGGTTTCCCAGATTGCTGCTCAGTCACCAGGATGCCCCATTTGACCCCGGGCTAATGCCAGTGTAACGCTGCCATCCAAAGCTGATTCACAGAGCCCACTGGTAGGACACAGCTCGAATGTAAATCAAAACTCAAATCTCACCTGCCTGGCCCCTGTCTATCACAGCAGAGGCTACAAGAAAGCAGAGTTTCTGCTGCACCCATTCCCCCAAGGAGAAATATTTCCTCAAAAATACTTTTCCCTAATTCACACTCTAAAACTGGCTCCGGGTTAGGAAAAGCAAACCTTGACCTCCCAGACATTCCAGGTGGAGATGGGCACAGGCTGCCATCACCTCAGCCACAGCAGGAACCCAGTGGATCACCTGTGCAGATCCCTGGGCTTTAACTGATGCATCAGGCCCCATCCACCCAGCTCTAGGTGGATGCAGGCTGTGTCCCATCCAGCCCACCACAGACAGATTCATCCCTGCCCACAGCCACAGGCCTCTCTGCTCTGCCCAGCTCCTTCCCTTCATCTCCTCCTTACAATGAGTCACAGAATTCTCGGATTAGACTAGCAGAGCCTCAGTGCTTGCCCAGAGATCTGCAGGGAAAGGCTTAGCCCTCCCCCTCGCTTGCCCACACAGATACCCTGCTCTCCCTAAGCTGGGGGATAAAAATATAAATCCAGTCCATGGCCTGGATGCACAAAGGGACACTGAAAGAGGAAAAAATGCAAGAGAGAACCAGGGAGAGGAGAGCAGGAGACACAAAGACCAGGCAGGGTTTCCCTGGGACTTCCCTGACCTTCTCCTGAGGACACATGCTCTGCAGTGCTGCTTAAGTTATTTAAGCTGCTGCATAAATGGCCATTATGGGTTTGTCTACATGCCTGAGGTCAGAATATTCTCTACACAACAAAATTTTGCCATAACTCTACGCCCATCCAGTAAGGCTGGATGCCCTTTGGGCATTTGCTACCTGAGCAAAGCATTCTCTGACAAAGCCCACACCAAGACCAAAAAAATAGGTCCTCAGTTCGTGATGCAACTAATGCATGGTAAGGAGTTACATGTTGTTTTGCATTACAAGGAAGTTTCTTTCCCTTAAGTTTCTGAGTCCACTGAGATCAGTCCTTCAGGGGGACATTGCATTTGACTTGAAGCTGGCCAAATGTGTGTAACTGAAGTGGCTGGGGATAAGCCTCGCTCCTGGGGGAGCCGCTGACACGTGCAGTCTGGAATCCTCATCTACAGCCTCTGCTGCAGGGAAAGGCAAGTGTCAGCCACCCACACCGAGCTGTCAGGGGGCCATGTCCCTCCCCATGGGGAGACTGGATCTGAGAAGCCTGGAAAGAGCAAAGCTTTCGTCTTTGAAGGTAAGATCCTTTTATCTCTTCAATTCCCACAGCAATCACTCAGTTTTTTTCAACTTTGTGATGTGAGAGGCAACAACAACAACAGAAATCATCGGGAAACCAAAACAGGATTTTGGTCCTAACCCACTCACTGAAAAGCAGCCTTGGACACATAATGGCACCAGCTGGTGCAGCACCCTTATCCTCCTCTATCTGGCTACAGAGCAAACACCAGTGCGGGCTGGAAACAGCACAGACAAGGTTAAACAGCTTCTTCTAAAAGTTACTCCATGAGCTGATGCTAAAGAATACTCCAGGGTTTCCCAGCACACCAGTACCCATGTCTTTCTACTCAGGATATTTTAGAAATGGCCACCAGCAACCCATGAAGTTTGGAGTCCTATTTTAAACAATATTTTTATCAAATATTTCCTAAGGAGGTAAAGATCTGTGTCAAGGGTTTACCACCATAAAATGTCCTGAGGAACAAGTTTGTGCCTTCCAGCCTAATGCCTGGAGGCCCTCTGGCAGCCGGGTGCTGTAGGCAAGGCCATTCAGCTAAAATATCATCCACCTTTTATTGTTGGTTCATCTGTTGGTACCATGTCGTACCCCAGAAGGAATACAGTGAGAAATTCCCCCAGTGCAGAACAGATTTTTAAACAACCTGAAAAAAAAGCAGCTTGTGAAGTTCAGCCTGTTCCCATTCCCTCTTACCTGAAAGGTGAAGCATGGGCAGAACCTCCTCAGGAGCTTGCTGGGTACAAACACTGTTGCTTCTGTAGTAGTTCCCCAAAGTGTGCAATTCCTGAACTCTGCTGAGGTGCTTTTTGCCTCAGTACCTGATGGTGATGAGTTCCGTAGATGAAAGATACAGCCAACCTAAGCAACTCCATTCCTGGGACAGTTGTGTTCCTGGGATTGTAGAAGCCTCCATTTCTCCCTTTCCCAAGGTGCACCTTGGCAATCACTGTACTCTCTCCAGCTCCCGCAATTCCTAGTTTAGCATATGCAGTTCAAAGGTCTGGCAAAAATGATTATTTATCTCCCCCTCCTAACAACTGCTGAACATGGATTTGGGGTTTCTTGGGGCTGGGTTTTTTTTCCCCCTTTTAGCTAATACCATTGCTGTTTCCTCTCTTCTACTCTACCAAAAGACAAAGTCTAAGTGAGAAGAAAGAAAATCTACAACTCTCCGGGCTTGCACTCCCTTATAATTTGAGCAAACTCAGTGTCTGGCATTTACCAGCTCATGCAGGTGGTTTAACAGCTCCCTGGATATGTGAGAAGTCAGCAGAGACCTAAATCAGCTGGAACAAGAAGAATTGCCCAAATTCAGCAAAGCTGTGTCAGACCCAGCTTGAAAACGAGCCTGTGTGTTGTCAGGCCCCTTCTACACACACAGACTGATCTCCCCCACTCCCCTGCCCCCATTCCCTGAGCAGCCTGGCTGCAGCTCCCTCTCACCACCAACTCCCCACTACCCAGAAACATCTTTTTTGTGCTCCTGAAACAAAGGCTGGACTCTGATGCCCAGAGGTGCCTCCAGTCCCTACCTGTGCAGTGCCTCCTGATTTACCTCTGTGGTTTCTGAGATATCCCTTGTTTCCTTTCCTATGAGAAAAAAGTCAGTAAAACCCATCAGTTTTCCCTTTTCTTTCCAGCCTTACTGTCCATATACTTCTCTGGCACCCTAAACAAGCACATCTCCTAAATGTTAAATCCCTGATTTTATCTTTCCCACAGGGACAGACACATTTGGAACCCCAGAGGTAGCTACTTACAGCTGTTTGAGCTCAGATGCTCCAGTGTGGGCAGCTTGCAAGGAATTCAGAGGTTTAGCTTGAAAAAAATGCTCAGAGCAGCTGCACTTTATTTATAACTGTGCAGATTCATCCGTCTAGAGACTGTTGCAATCTCCTCCTCTGAGTTTCTGTTCAGCCAGGTGCTGCTGCTGGTGCGTTAGACATGTTTTAGGACCCTGTTGGCTATTCGTCCTGCTAATGCTAAGCCAAAGCCATTTATATGAAGCAATCCTGGTGGTTAATGAATTCAGAAGCAGTGCTGGAATCCCAGCAGAATGTCCGTCCCTCCGTTCCACCACCTTGGAGGGTGGGAGCCTCCACAGAGCCCAGGCAATTTCTTCCATAAGGTGTGAATGGCTCCATTTGAGAAAGAGCCCTTCAGTGTAAAACCAGCACACATTCCTTTTGTAGTCAGAATTTTATTTGCTTTACATCCAGGCTTATCATTGACATCTGAAAATAAAATCTTTCATTTACAAGTAGGCTAGTGCAAATTAAAGGTAATTTTGGACAAAAAAATAAAAAGAAAGACCTTGCATGTAACACAAAAGAAATGTGTGTGTTAGGATGATCTTCCTGGAACAGCTCGTGGAGGTCGCCTAGGAAAAAAACAAAAAATAACCCAAAATTCACAGAGAGGGAGATTTAAAACAAAAGGTCAAGATATAAAAAAAATACTCATACACAAAATTATCTTAATTAAATGGGTTAAGAGAAAAAGGCACAGAACATGTATATTAAGGAAAAGAGCAAGAGTGAGATTAGAATCAGCTGGCCACCAGCACAGCCTCAGCTTTCATCCTCACCACTTCCCATCTGACTTGCTGGCGCCAGACAACTGGGACAATCACATCACAGGTGTGGAGGTCGCTGGTCACAGGCTTTCTAATTTTCTTGCAGCAAATAATATCCTCTGGAAGAGCTTTTCCCCAGCCAGCTTTAAAATTCTCACCACTATCTGCTTCAAACACTGTTCTTGGAGTAGAGATTCTGATGAAATGGGGAATGATCAAACAAGATGGCCTGGGGGTGGATTGGGGTATCTGGAGGGGACGTTGCTGGGAAAGGTTAAAAACGTGGGTGATGGCTCCTGCCAAGCATAGCAGGAGACCCTTGGCAGCGATGGCCCAGTGAAGTGGTTGGAGAGGAGCAGATGCTCCTCCTGTTACCCAGCACAGAGGACTCAGCTCTGACCAAAGCTGAACCAAACTCCAAATGCCTGTAGCCAAACTCCTGCAGGGTACGTAAGGTACTGCAGCCAGAGGGGACATGTGTGACACTGCTGTTCACTGAGGGGGAGTGCACACACTGCCCTCAGGAACAGCCACTGATGGCACACCTCCAAACATTACAGCAACCAAGGGAATACAACGGGGGTGTTCCTGCTTTGCTCATCCCACCTTTTGCTCCCTACTTTCCCAAAACCTAAGGACCAACTTAGCAACTGCGGTGCTCCCTCAGGAAGCTGTTGTGCCATAGAGACCATCTCCAAGCACCGAGTGCAGCTACTTGGCTCATACTGATCTGAAGGAAGAACTGAGTAATCAAGACATCTGCACATTCATACACAGCCACTTTAGGGGGAAATCCCTTCCAGACATAACACATACACAGGCACATTTTAACTCCAGCTCCTGCTCTGGAGGACTCAGTCTAGCCTTCTGCTTAGCTCTGAATCTCCCCAAAACGTGCTTTCCCCAGCAATGAAGTGAATCCCAGGTACTGCTTGAAAAACATTCATCTATTTCCCAGCAAAACATCTCTGCAGCACTCCAAGCCCCTTGCAAGGGAACAGGTTGAATGTTTGCCAAAGGGTTACATCTTCCCTGTCTCCCCTTTAATGACATCTCCAGTGATCCAGATGCAACACACATCTCTGATAAATCCTCCCTGCAGTCCCGACCCAGGCAGAGTGTGAAATGCTGAGATGATGGTGTGAGAGACAGAAGACCACTCGTGCACATCCAGAAAGTAATAATAAAAGCCCATCAAGAATTACAGTTTATTTCAGGTTCAGAAATGCAGCAGAACATTTTTACAGCAGGTGCATGTGATGCTCAGTAATGACTATGGTTTCGGGAATCGACTTGCTGTGCTCAAAGGTCAACACCAGGAACCATTTACAGATTATGAAACCAAAGGCAGATGTTTTGTCTCATACGAAGTAGGGCATTAACACACAGAGCAAAAAAATCAGAAAGAAATTAAGCGTTTGCTTCTTACAAAAAGAAGTCATCCCGTCCTGGAAAAGTAAAGAGACAGCAGTAAAGCAAACGGCCGGCAAGACGGGACAAATCATAGATCAAGCAAGAGTGGAGGACTGTCTGGACGGGAGGAGCCATCGGTATCAGCTCGCCTGCAGACAAAGCAAGAGGAAAGACAGGCAGAGTAACATTCATTTGCACAAGGGAGCTGTTCTGCTGGAGCCCCAGGAGGATGTTCAGTGCCACAGCGGGAGGAGCTGTGCCGCAGGGGCACCAGCAGGCTGGGTGCCTTCTGGTGGCACAGGAGCAAAGTAGGTCTGCCCTCAATTCAGGAGGTTTGGACTATTTTAAGACAGAAAGACAGAACTAGCCAGTAATCTCCATATGCTGTGTGCATCATGGTTAGTGTAGCTGTCTGCAACAGAGAGGATAATATTTTCTATGTTATGCTTTAACATGAAATGCCATAATCTATAATGTATCTCCTTTAATATAATAAATAATCTACTTTTACGAGGTTTACTCAGAAAGTGCAACAAGATCAGCAATAAATAAACACACATTAACTATGTACATAAGCCTTTTTGTGGAACATACAATCTTTTTAACCCTTGAGATCCAAGGCCGAGAGCTATTTATGGCATTCACAAGCTCCTCAGCTGTTGGTCAGCCATGGCAAGGTGAGGTGGAACATGTTCTCTACGCACAGACCCAGGCTGAGCCTAAATGCAATACTAGAGGAGCACCCTCCTGAAACTTAGCAACTACATCACCCAGATCATTATTATGTACCTCACATAAGATCAGAACCACCGTTGTTGCTTAATTAGTGCTCCACTCCTCCCTGGCAGTCTTCTGAGCTTTCCAGAGGGAATCAAAGAAAGGGAGAGCAACCTGCCCCTTCTCCGATAGAGAGTTCAGACCTGGCTCATCCTGTGTAAGTGGGTCTGCAGAGGGGGCAATGGCCAGTGTGAGGAGCCAGTCCCTCTAGCAGGTCCACAAGGTGCTCATCCTGCTGTCCTTTGGGCAGGGAGCGAGTTGCTGCCCAGGCTGCTCCTCTGAGAACAAGGGACAGGACTGGCACGACTTGTCAGCTTCAGGAGTGGGTGGGACAAACAAACCCATTCCAGGCACTGCAGAGCAGGAGGAGGTGGGCCAAGGTTGGAGGACAGCACTTACTCAATTGGATGTGGCAATTTCTTGAGAAGCTCTTAGTGTTTTTCCTAGAAACAGTTCTACATAGTTTATTCTGAAAAGCGTATACGCAAGAGGTGAAATTATCGAACTCTGTATCTATGCTCACAGTTTTTATTAACCTGCACACCTAAAAGTGTTGCATTTAGGGCACAGGGTCAGATTTAGATGTGATCTGGATGAGGATGCAGAGGAAGGAGGGCTGCGCAGCTGTGTCCCACGACCTCGGCATCGAGCGCAGAAGCAGATGGTGCTGGCGCCTCACTGCCTCCTCCTCCTTTTTCGGGTAAATCCACCCTTGAGAGCTTCATTTACAATTCTGCTGAGAAATACAGTTTCTTGGGGGGCAGAGTTAAGGACAGTGCTGAATTGTGCTACCTACTTCCTTATGCTTGGCAGAAACAGTCATTAAAGTAAATTAAGGAGTCTCAAGTACAGAGAATTTAAAAACATGTTTTTAGGCCAGGATCTCTGTCATCTAATTGAGGCATTACCACCCTCGAGTCCTGTGCAGCCACACTGGTCTGAATCACCTCCTGGAGGTGATGTCTCTTCCCACTGATCAAAGGGGACCTTGGACAACAAAGCTGAGTGTATGGGGTATGGTGGGATAAACCCAGACCACGGTCTTGCATCCACAGCTTGGATTGAGCCGGAAGAGACCATAAAGTTCATCTTGTTCCAACCCCCCTGCCATGGGGGAACACCTTCCACTAGACCAGGTCGCTCAGAGCCCCATCCAGCCTGGGCATGAACATTTCTATCACTGAATGAATATAAAAATTTGGGATTAAAGTCACTTTCTGTGGCTGAGGCACTATGCTTGGCTTCCCATCAGCAGGCAGCTGCCAGTCAGTAACAGAGTTCTGATAAACTACATACAGGTTTGCTTGCAAGGCAGCAGCATGGACTGCTATGGCTATTTATAAAAATATATCCAACAGATGCATTACAGGTTACAGCAGAGAACATTAAGCAGTGGAAAACTGTGTAGAACACAAGAAAAATCATAAAAATATATGTTTTCTTTTTTGTAGTAAAAATTACTATGACTGTAGTTGTGTTTGTAACCTTCTTCTTCCTTGAAAGCTGATTCTGTGCACTTGGTGTTGGAGATCTGAGCCTGTTCCCCAAACAAACACCAGCCACTTAAGCAGTTTCTGAGATCACCAAGATGCTGGTGCTCTGACAAACTCCATCTTCACTGTGCATCAGATGTGACCTCTACACTCCCCAGGCATGTCTCACAAGTATGAAGTTGACAGGAAATTAAAGTTAAGCTAACATACAAATCATCATGCTTTCCCAAGCTCGTCTCTCTTATGCAAGCTGAAACACAATTTGCTGCAGTGGTGAGCACAGCTAATCAGCAGCCTGGGAATACTTAATAGGCTAAATCCCCATTTGTTGTGGCTCTTTGATTGGATTCTTCCTAACCAAGGGGCTACAGCATACTGGAGCCCTACATGCAGTCTCAATAAATACATTTATTAGACTGATTATACTGAGGGCCTTTGAAACCACCAATTGCTTTGCCTAGGGATCTGTAACCATAATTGCAATAGCAGCAATTCACATTTTCTGAAGGAATAAGGCCAAATTCCTCTCTAGTTTAATTCTCTTAACACAGTAAATTTTAAGCTTTAGGGGTGACACTGACCCTAAGTGTTTAAAGTGAAGTAATGCAGTTAAGACAAAAGGTTTTTATAACACATTAATATATAATGTGCAAAACAAGAGGCAGAGAGGACCTCTGCAAGTGAGCAGCTGCTAAAATAATCCATTGCCAGGATGCACAGCTGAGCACTTCCAAGAACCTAGATGGATAAAGCGACCCTAAACCAAGGTGTGCAGGACCAAGTGATCCAAAAAGAAAATCTTCATACAGGGGGCACAGGGGAACTTTATCAACTGGCATGAGAAAATATCGCAAATATCTCAAATCCAAACCAGACCCTTGGGAAGCTCAGCTGCCAGTCTAGGCCGGAGCTCTGTGAATTGGCTCACACAGTGGGCAGAGGAGCAGTAGCCCATGTCCAGCTGTGCATATATCTATATATCTGTATCTATATCCCCTTCTGTTCCATAAAATGGCCAAAAGCAGCGCTCAGTTCCCAGGATCCTGCCACACAGCACATTTATACACACTCACATATGCCCAGGGCTTCCCCTGAGTGGGAGTGTAAGTGTGAGCAAGCACTAGCAGAGGACAAAGCAAGCTAGGACACTGCTCTGTCATGTACTGGCTCTTCAAACCACCCTTTCCCATCCTTGCTGCAGGGTGAGGCAGCTCCACACCAAGCCCTGTGAGCTGAGGCAGCAGCCTGGTCCTTACCAACCCAACCAACCTGGCATGTCAGCTGCCAGTGTGGAAATAAAGTGAAACGTGCTGTCCCACACACACCCTTCTTGTTTAACAACATCCCTTAACACTAGACTTTGGATAAGGAGACATGGAAGTGGGGGGCCTTCAGAAGAGCTTGGTAAGAAATCACATGGCTTTTCTTTGCCCAGTTTATCCATTACAAGAGAAAATTGGCATAACTCTGTAATTCTAAATGATAGATAACTTGGAAGGTACAAATAAAAGCAATATTCCTTTCAGATAAGAGGAAAAAAAGCAGGAGATCAAATCAACACATGCACAAACACACACAAAAAGTCAAGCCCTCCATTTGCTGTAGAGGACAGTGAGCACAGTTGCCTGGGTGAAGATATGTGTCAGTAAGTTAGCTAACACCAGTTATTGCAAAAGGAAAAGTCAAGGCAGCACAGACCTTCCCAAAACATTTAAGACCTCATAAACAATGCAGAATGGACAGAGAGTATATCAGTAAAATTGGTTACTTGCCTATAGATGTCCATACATGCGACTATACATTGGTTATTGCGACAGTTATCAAGCAATTTGTTCCACATATTTGGTTAACAATGAATGACATGCCAGAAACTCCTTTTAGTCTAACAGGGATGAGTCTAACGGACGAATTACAGTGGGCCGAGTAGGTGAAGGGGGTGGTCTTCGACTGGAGAGAAAGAGAGAAGAAACAATAAGCACAAACACTGAGAACAAAGCTGGCACCTTCCGCTGTTGTTACAGGAACATGCACATGCTCGTACACACGACCATCTTATTTCCACGTACACTGAAGCACGACACCCACAAGAATCCACAATAAGGAAGGAGGCAACGGGTTTGCCAGGTGCCTACCATGCCTTAGCCCCCTCACCCACCAGACAGCTCTTCTTGCTGATCCACAGCCTGGGTGTTCTCCAAACATAGTTACCTTCTTGTGCCACAGAAACCATCCAGGGAGGATCATTATTCCCATTTTCTTAGGGGTCAGTCCCAGCCTGGACAGCCACACAGCAGACTTACAGGAACGTTTCAGAGCAGAAAACAGGACTGGGGAAAACAGCCTGCAGTGACTTCAGCTGCTGTTTGCAGAAGCAGGAAAACCTGCAGCTTCTTGGACAGTTGGGCCAACTGGAGTCACGTCAATGTGCCTAAATTTGAGGCACAAATTTCAAGCTATATATCAGTGGCCAGTTATGAAAATGCCAGTCGTGGCTGGGGCTGCTGGTCTCATGTATTCCTCTATCAACTTCAGTGCTAAGGAGTCACAGATTTTTCAGGAAGGCTTATGTGTCTTTTTTCCATTTTCCTGTGTACTGCAAACACCTACATTTTAATTCAGACTGTGTCATCATTTGGTAAGAGTCCACAGTGCAAGAGTTGGCAGTAGTATGATCTCCAAGTGCATCCCACCTGGAGTCCAGGCTGAGACCTATCCCTCCTTCCCTCCCTCCCTTATCCAAGGATGACACACCAACTCAGCTCGAGTGGCAGACAGAGTCTCTCCAGTAGCTACTCAACACTTTACCTTTTTGTGTGCAGGTACACTGCTCATGTCAGTGCTGTGTGGAGGCAACTCCATCAGCATAGTCACAAAGAGTA